AACTTTTTCCTTACCTCTATCAAATCCTGAAAGCATAACACACTTGAATCACACTTCAAGAGGTGCTATTTTTGTGTTTCGAAAATTTTTTTTTAATCCTTCTTTTCCTCTTTTTCCTGCTCCTTTGATGTTCTCCACAATTCACCAACAAACCTGCCAAAAATATTTAACATAAGAAAGAACTGGAAATGCTGTTTCATAGACTTAAAAGAGTAATGGCCATGTAGAACCAAAAATTTTACAAGGTTTGGTTTTCATAACCATGAGTCGTTAAAGAAAGGTATATTCAGTATCTTGAACAGGTTGAGAACTTGGTGGTGCCCAGTCCAAATCTGTGGTACTAAAATTCCTTTGAATTACATGCAAGATTCTGTTACCATTATTCCAAAATTTAAACCATAATTTTTTTTTTGTCAGAAACAAGGAAGCAAAATGAACGGCAAGAGTTCCATATAACCCCATACATTAATTATGCATAGTGATGCAAAGAAACCTTTATATTGAGTCTTTATAAAATGAATGCATAATTAATGTATGGGGTTATATGGAACTCTTTCCAAATGAACTGATTTTTAATCTGTCATTTTCGGGATTGAAATCCCCTCAAGCATCCCCCCCTCGAGCTCCTTGAAGAAACAAATATGGCGGCTTCTCATGCCGGTGAAAAAGTTCCGTAGAAAGTGTAAAAACTTCTTTTCATCCTTACCAGTTTATAGATAGAATAAGGCCGCTACTAAGGATCGACAGCATCAGCACATGGATATTGAAGCCAAAAATTATCAACAAAAATATAAGCACGACCACAAGGCACACGAATATTACGTTGATCGCTGTCAGAAGTCCGCTGTTCACACCAGGTTCAAATATAGACTGTATTACTGCTTGAAACATCGAGCTGATGTGCTGATTTACGCGTTATCGTAATTTGTACACGGCTCAGGGGAATTAAAAGAGAAAAGTTAGAGTGTAAAACGCGATTTTCCCCAGGGTTCCAATATTTTTCGATAATATAATCTCCCAGGCACTTCTTCAGTCCCAAGCCCTTGGGTGACATTAGACCCCAGGCCTAACCAAAAGTCAATGCACTGCTATGTCATTGCCAAAATTAATTCCCAACTCTTTTAAAAGAAGTCTGGGGTGTAGTAGAGCTTTTGTTTGATTTCCTTCTTGTGTCAGTCCTTGCATTGAAGATTTACAATAATTCAGTGAAATGTCTGTAGGAAGTTGAGTAAACTATGACTCAACATTGATTTATTGCCCCTAGAGATTAAGTTTAGTTTAATTGCAGCAGATAAAGCATACAAGATCTACATGGTACTGATCTTCCCTTTACAGGCTAACATTACTATGCATATTCTCCATAATGGTCTCTATACTTTTCCTAAGGCGCTGATTGTTTCACAATCAATAGCTAGCGTCTTTAGTTGATCATTTTCTTTATTCTGATGACCTATATGTTTGATTTAGTGGTTATATTGTAAAGAGAAATTAGGTGCTGGTCACTCTTAGGAGTCAAAGGGTTACACACTGTGCAACAAATGGAAAGGATTCATAAGCTATCTTCCCACACATTTAACCAAGTGTTCAAGCACTACTCTTTTGTACGGGATGATTGTATATTTTACATGTTATTCACTAAACAAATCATATTCAGTAACTGTGAAGAGGTGTCTGAAAGCCAACTTTTGCACTGTATGAAACATCTACTGTCAACTCTACAGGCTGCCCCAAGGTATCTTCTAAATCTGCCAAAACAAATTGTCTTAATTGTTCCAACGTCTCCATTACACATCTCCGTTGGCTCTTTGTGCGGCAGTATAGCTTGTGATGAATTCTCCAATGGCCTTCTCTGGCTTCACACAAAACACTCACCTAAAAGTGACAAGATCAGTAGCATATGAAACAAAAATGTCACATAAACCATGAATAAACAAGGCTCAAAACTCAGTTCTTTTTTAAGTCACCATTTAAGCACCTCAACCTTTTGAAGTGATTAATATTAATGTAACTTCTCCCAATAACATCCATACACTATCTAGCAAACAAGTAATGAGAATAAACAAACTTAACAGGAAGGAGTTGTTTTCTTGATCTACCAATAAATTCTTGTAACTAATTTCCAAGGAAATGTGAAGTAGCTATTTGGGAGAATTCATAATCAGATCTTGGGAGCATAAGGGTTAAATCATTACATGGTTAACACAAATATTGAGTTGCAAAAAAGAAAAGGAAAAGAAAAGGAAATTGTGTGCAATAATAGATACTATTTTTTTTTTCAAATGTTTTTTCACTCTTTAAGTTTTGACCATAAACTTTTGAGTACTAAAAGCAACAATTGAAAATGACGATAATGTTAAATTTTTATAGCACATTCTCTGGGGGACTTTTGCCAGAGTGCACTGACCCTCGGTTTTCATCCAGGCTGGGGCTTGAACCCTCAACCTCCCTCACACCAGTCTGGCACTCCACCACCTGAGCAAAACAGGCAGCAGCAACTTACCCTTCACTTGCCCTGGCAACAAAAAATAATGGTTGCAATCCAGAGTGTTGGTGAAAAGTAGGCTATCTATCATATAATACTAACACACTATTTGTTCATATATGAAGAAGACCACAGGGTCCTGACAAGCGGTCTTAACAACCTACCTGCCTGATTTGCCAGGGAATTTCATGTTCATACAACTGCAAAATTTTCTCTCTAAATATTTCATGCATGATCTGTTCAAAGTTCTGGTCAGTGGATGTATCAGCAGGAAACAGCCAATCAGCAGGCTTTGCTTTCACGGTGAAATAGTTTTTGAGATCATCGACCCCATCTCCAGTTCTTGCCGAGATCATGAACGCATGCTCAAACTTACTCCACCCACCTTCCGGTTTATATCCCCACTCATCCTTTTCACGGTCTTGCATTAAGACTGTGGCTATATCAAGCAATTTGGTCTTGGTTTTGACAATATCGATCTTGTTTAAGATCAGAACTGACGGCAAGTCTGTGTGATTCTCCAAGTTGGTTAAAACTGTTTCGGGAATTACCATACTCCTTTTCCTGTCAGCTGCATCAATCAGAACAGCTATAAGATCAGCGTCATGCAGTGCATTACTCGGAGCTCGCATGTGCTCACGGTTCATTTTCAATCGTCTGGCCGTTGGAATGTTTACAATTCCTGGAGTATCTAGCAGAACTATCTGAGTATCTCCGAGTGTGAAAACTCCCGTTGTCTGCCTTCGTGTGGTATGAGGTACTGCAGTAACCGCACAGATCTTGTCCCCAATTAGACAATTAGTTAATGTCGATTTTCCACTGTTTGCCTCGCCTATAATCGCCACTTTCAGTAGCCTCGTTTGTGGCGAATCTTCGTTCTCTGAGTTACTTTTTAAATTGCTTTTATTCGAAACACTTCGGTCTTCAGTTCGGTCTGTTTCCACGTCTAGATTAGCATCACTTGCAAAGCTTCGATGGCCCTGAATTAAGAACCTTTCGACGTAATTCTGCGTTTGGAAAACACGATTCGAATATTTTTGCGAATTTAAACAAGCAAAGACACCTCCTCTGCAGATGATCGAGATCCCCATATTTCTGCCACAACGCAACCACGTGTGGGCCGCCATGTTTGTGTTTATTCATACTTAGTCTCTCTCGATCAAAGTGCACCCGTAGCTAGCTCGCAAATGATCAGGAGCCTTCGAGTCAAAAGTTTTCTAAATTTATTCGAGAGGGGAATCAATTTAAGGCGTAAGATTGCATTCTTCTTAACTTCCAGAAGTTTCAATTCTGTCTGCAAACGACGCATTTTTGAAAGTTAACTAAGGGAAGGAGATTTTAATGCAAACATTTTGACGCGTGGGATTTACAAACAAGTCCTGTGGGCTTAAACACTATGAAGATCACGAGTATATGAGATTGATCGTCGTCAGTTAAATATGAGCATCAACAGGATAGCGATAAGGACAAACAAAGGAAATTATATTGGTGGGGAAAAGATTTACGGGTAAGGATCAGTCTTGTCGTGTCTTATGAATAGTTTCGCACCTTGAACTTGTCATAATAGATCAAATTAACATAACGTGCCTGTTTAATGAAATCTTCACTGAGATTTATATTTACTATTCAATCTTAGCCGTTTATTAGTTTTTGTTTCAAAGCAGCATTTGGTTTGCGTCAGGCAGAAATTCAGTAAGCGGAAGTAGGAAGTACAGCAAGTTTATACTTTCAGCATTTGATCTGACACATTTATGATCCAAACATGTCCGTTTCTACTATACTGTTTCCAAGGAAGAAGGCAGTAGTGCGAGAGGGTACTGGGTTTCAACGTGGTAGGGGAAGGGGGTTCCTCGCTAAGATTTCTCAACAGCTCCCTACATAGTATAATTGTAAAACAAAGCTGTGTTCCAAAAGGCAATCTATTGTTTATGCCTTTGTTTGTTTTCTTTATTCAAAAACTGTCATGTGCATAATGAAGCATGGGACTGTGCAGAAATCTTACTAGGTGCTCAAATTAGGGTAATTTTCATATTTGAAAAAAAAAAAGTAATATTAAGACTGCCCTAAACCTCCATATCTTCCCACCAGAGGCAAAAACAACGTGTATTTCCAAAAATGCATTAGGATCCTTGATTATCTAATCTGGCAAAGGGAACAAAAAAACTCAAAGATCATCAAAACAATTAAGATGATTTTCATATTTGTCTTGAATTTACAGTGATTAATCTTTGAAAATGAAATACTTTGGCTGCAAGTGCAAAGACCTTTTTGCCATAGCCACAACACTTTAGCTCCCTGAAGTGATCAGAACAGAATTTCTCCTGACAGTATTAATGCATTATTATGCAGACAGGTGATGAGAGTAAAGAAAATTATCACTCAGGGGATTACTAGTTGATCCAATACCAAATTCTCTGTAATGACATAACAGTAATTTTATGGTAGGGAGCAAGGAGAATTGCAACTTTGGAGCAAAAGGTTCAATAGCTATCAAATTTTAGGTGAATTAAAGAATGTTTATCTATTGATTTTTGCAGGACTGTGTATCTATGGATTTGTAGCACTGATCCATGCAGAGGAGTGAAACTTAAATTCCGAGGATATGAAAAATGTAAGCTATGTTTTATAAATTTTATCAAGGGATCTTATCAACCTCCTAAAATGTATGTGAAAGATGAAAAACAACACAAACAAAACCATTAAAGTGGGCAAAAAAAATCTAAAGTTCTTAAAGGTCCTCCAATTAAAAAGAAAAGCCTAAAAAATGAATGCAAATTAAAGTTTGGGTCATTCACTACACTGCCATTTTGTTGCTCCACTTTCTGTCTGTATTATAACCCTGTTCTAGAGTATAACAATGTGGCATATTTTTGTGTACTCCAGTGCTCTAATTTGGTAAAATGGTGTCATTGTGGAATAATAATATTGATAATTGTGTTTTTTTTTTTTGCAGGTGAATGGGAATTTCGAGAAGTACAACAAGATGAAGAAACTCAATTACCAGTCGAGAAGATAGGAACCAAAAATTCAAGGAGAGATATGTTCAGAGCTGAACTGCGTCTCATTGAATATCCCGGTAATATTCCACTTTGTGGCATAGAAACAATACATTTTACACAAAATTAATAGTTGCTCTAATACAAAAACTTATCAAAGAATCATCAAAATATGGGGTAGTTAACCATGTATTTAATCTCTGACACCCTAACATCAGCAAGTATTATCCCACTGCCTGTTTTCCTGCAATTGTGTTGATATTGTAAGGAGAAATTATTTCTTGGTCACCTCTGGGAGTTAACTCTTTGACCTCTAAGAGTGACTAAGTAAGCTTAAAACATTTTCATAAAAAAAAAAATATCACCCCTCAAGGCTGTGGTCCAGTCAGGGCTCGACACTGACTTCTCAACTTACTAGCCAGGTGGCTAGTGACATCTTAGATGTTTTTAGTTTTATGACAATTTCAGTCTGTTTACTAGCCAAATTGGTTAGTGGAAAATGAAAACCACTCGCCAAAACTGAATTTCTACTAGTCTGTGCCTAGTGGGCTACCGTTAGTGTCGAGCCCTGTTAGTGGTGGCCCGTGGCACCTTACTTCTGCTCATGGGCGACTCAGGAATTTTAGTTTTTTTCATACAAAGCATATGCTGGGCACCCTGGATTTTGCAGTTTCAGAGCACTGGGCTCCTTTCAATTTTCCTAAGAGCATAGCCTTGCCCCTAAATCAAACATATAGTTGAGAGAATAATGGAAATAATCATCATCTAAAGAAGTTCATGATTGTTTAACAAATTCTCCCAGTCAGCACCCAAGGAAACGTACAAAGAACAGTACGGAGAGTATGCACTCTGATGTTTAAGGGTGTAAAGTGTTAATGGGTAAAGTCAACATTTTCAAAGTGCCTCCACAGTTTATGTTGTCTGGGCTCTCTAAAAGACTTTGTGGTCATTGATTTGAAGGCCTCCCCAGAACTGGTTCAATCTCCAACTTTCACTTTTTTTTTTTTTCTAGATGGAATACCTATGGGTTGTTATGCATATCCCTTCCATTACACATTGCAACAAGGCTTACCAGGTAATGTCTACTGTATTGGAAACAACTTATTCTGATTGTGACAGGGTTGTCAGATGCCCAGAATCGGGAAGAAATTCAAAGTGCTTTCAAAAGCAGTTGAAGCTAGCTTTCTAGGACCTTCTTATTAGTGCCTCAAAAGATCTACCACTGAGCCATTTATACTGGTATGAAATAATATGGATTTAGAGGCTCTTCTCTCCAATTATAATATCGTAATTTTCAATGAACAGTTGTTCTCAAGGGCAGAGGGGAATGTGTTTGGATACTTTCTGGAACTACACCTCAACAGAAACACTTTCACAGCAGAGCACAGCACTCATGATTTAATGAAGAGCCCTACAATTAATTCTTGAGGGTTTTACGAAGACAAAGGATTAACAGTGGTTAAAAGGCAACAGCTTTTGAACTGATTTTATTACACGACTTGGGAAGTCAGAGGCCCAATAACTAAAATCAACCAATCAAAATACTCTATTGCCGGTCAATATTCTCTCAGTATTGGATTGGGCACTGTCCCGAATGGTCCCGAATGATACTGCTTTTATGTTCCTTTGAACTTCAGTCGTGTAATAAATCTCTTATTAACCAAGCTTGCTTGGGACCGTACTGGAAGAATATCGGCCCTCGGTCTTTTTTGTACGGATCTCGCTGCACTCGGTCTGTACTGTCAAGACCTCAGGCCGATATTCTCCCAGTACGGCCCTCACGCTTGGTTAATAAGATATATATATTAATTTTCACATATTATTATGGTTACTTACTACTAGATTTGTTGTTTTGTTTTGTTTTTTATTTGCAGGATCTTTTGAAGGTGAAGGAAATCAGACTAATGGAGACAAATGGAAAGCCAAGATTACGTACAAAGTGATAGCTGAGGTCGATAGGCCAGGATCAGGGGAGGTTCTCAAGGTCAGACATTTGTGCTTCTAAATTCATCAATCTTTTGATTTTCTGGGACATTTTTATGTTTAACTTAATGGTTCCCATTTCAAAAGACACATGGTTCTCCTTAACCTTTTAACTCCTAGGGGCTGATTGTTAATTCTCCCCTCTACCTATCACAGATTTCCTGGTAAATTAGTAACGAGAATTTAGTGTAAGATCAGGATAACATTTTCTACCTGGAGAGTGATAATTTTGAGCATTCTCTGTACCTGTTTGCTGGATTTTGTATGCATATTGTAAGGAGAAGTTACATGTTAATCACTTCTAGGACTTAAAGGGTTACAGGACTTTATTTTAATGCAGCAGCTTTAAGCATTGATCATTTCTTTTACATTCTATGGATTTTTTTTTAAGGCTTCACAGGTCATCACAGTCAATGAAAATCTTCCACTGACATCAGTTGAGCCTGAAGTTATCACAGCGCGCAGAACTGTGAAAATTTGTTGCTGTATTCCAAAAGGAGATGTATTGCTTAATGCCTGGTATGTTTACCTAGGGAAAACATATTTTGTTTCCATTCAAGTGGGGTTTACACAATATGATGCAAGCATGCATACATCCTTAAACATCAATAAATTTGTATAATTATGGAGTTGTTTCTGAACCTAGTTTTCTTTGATGAAAGGTTGGATAAGAGGGTTTACACATCAGGAGAAACAGCTTCGCTTCAAGTTGATGTTAAGAACAATTCCAATGTTGACATTGATTCATTTATTGTGAAGGTAACTGCTGTTCTGCATGAAGTTTTTCTCTTGTCCAATCAAGGCTTTAAATTCTGGTATCTGGCCTGTGATGGCCTTGTGATTCCCAAGGATAAAGCAAAATTTTTCCCATCATACAATCTAAATGACTGAACCCTGTGTAACTCCCATGAGTGACCAAGACAGAATTTCTCCTTACAATATCAATACAATATCAAGCAGACAAGTGTTGAGAATAAAGAAAAACATCAATTAGAGGATTACTTCTTAAGACTCACTTTTTAAGAGTTTTATGGCAGACAGTAAGAAGATCTTGGGAGTGAAAAGGTTTAATTTATGTTTTAGTTTTCTATGATGTTTTTTTTAATTATTTTTTACTTTAAATCCTGTACTATCTTCTTTCTTGACAGCTTTTTAGAGTGGTTAACCTCAAACCTCAGGACAGAGAGCTTTCAACATCTGTCAGCAGCCAAGAAAGCAGGGCAACTGTCATGACAAGGAGTCCATGTGTTGTAGAAAACATGAAGGAGAAGTCACTAGGTGGTTGCAAGGGAAAACAGCTCAGAAACATGTATGACTAAAAACCCTGGGACTGTTTACAAATTAAAGGACATTAAAGGAGAAGCAGGTTTGAGAAACAATTTAAAACTCTTTGTCAATAGTTTTGGACAGTTGGTTCAGTACCAAGGAGGTCACCATGGTAACTGAGCCACACCCCATGTCCAGGCACCTGTCAACACAACAGCAACAAACCAATGACTGGGATGGACACGTACCCAAAAGTCAGGGAGTGGGAGAGGGGTTGGTAGGGAAGGGAGAACTTAGCAAGCAATCAATAGCAAATCAAACTAAGGTCAAAGTGCTCCTAACAGTGACTTGCTTTTAACCTAGTTTAAAGATCTTTTGGTCTCATGTAATTTTTATTATATAATATATTATTTATTTATAAGCTTTTTATTCTTCTCTAGGGAAATACCCCTTGAACTTTGGAAGGAGTCCTCGCGGGAGGAATTTCAACCATCTACTAGTGGTCAAATTTTAAAGGTAATCCAGTTCACTGCCAAGGGGCTATCTGTAATTGTGCACAAGTATATTTCTCGCAAAGCAATCTCCTTAAAATTTTTAAGATTGTTACATTTCAGTAGTTTGATAGTTGATAATTGTAATGCGTAAGCCCAAGGTCCAGAAAACAAGACAAGATTGGTTAAATAAGACCAAGATGGTGGTTTTAATAATCTGCAAACAAACTCCAACCTTGTGTACAAACCCAAATATAGAAAACTAGTTGCATGACTTTGGATAGTTGTAAAAACCTAAACGGAAAGATTTTAATTAATAGTTAAGTTGGTTAATTAATTATTTGTTTTTCCTTTCACATGTTAATTTGTTTGTTTGACCCTTAAACTCCCAAAGGGGATTAACATTTAACTTCTCCTTATAATATCTATACATTATCCAGTAATCAGGTGATGAGAATACTCAAATTTATCAGGTAAAAAATGTTATCTTGATCGTACACCAAATTCTCATAGCTTATTTACAAGCAAATGTGTAGCAACTTGTGGGGAGAATTAAAAATCAGATCTTGGCCATTTAAGGGTTAAATCAGGTCTACTGCTATGTCAGCCAAGCATTTGACACAATTTAATGCTTACTGTTGGCTCATTTTGCATTTTATTTTCCTCCAAGAGTACATACCATGTTGATGTTGAGATAGCCATCAAGTGGGCAGTGCCAATCTCTGCCCAGTTGCCTGTCACTTTGAGATCACCACCCAGTCAATCTGTGAGTATTTTAAGAAAAAATGCAAAACATTGCATAGACCTTGATTTACATTATTTTATGTTGTGGTGTAGTTAATAGAGAGTAACGGATCAAGAGATCACTTTATATCTCAACTTGCTTTATTTATAAACCTTTTCCTCCCTCCACTCAATTCATTTGCCAATTTCTTAATTCTTACTTTTTTGTTATTCCATACACACCCCTTCTTTTCTGTATCTTTTATTCTTGCAAGAAGGAGTTGTTAAATAAAAATGACATTTAATGAAATTGCTCCATGTTGTGGCAAGGCTTAATTCAGCTGGCATCAAGATATGGTAAAACCAAAAACAAAAGTCTTTGGAGATCAACTACTAAACAGATGCAGGCCAACATAGAATCTTTGTTTTGTGTTTAAAAAAGGAACAAAATTGTGTTAATTTTGAAGTTATCCGTGTATCTAACCCCTAATAGATCATGAGTCAGGCCCAATCAAAGTGCTTAAGATACTTCAGCTGATTATATGGACTGAAATAGATTCTGACTTGATGCTAACTGTGTTTATCTTATAGTGGAGTGAATGGGAGCCACCTCCCTGGGTGTACAACTGCAGAGTCATAAAAATCACTGGCCCATGTGCTGTTCCAGAGCATTTATTAGGTTTGTTAAAACTATAAGTTAAAATGTGATCATCTCACACTACAAACAAAATGGGTTAAATTTGTTTATCTTCTCTTCGCTTTAGGTTCCAAATTGTTTGTCAACATTCCTGGAATTCAGGCTGATCCGTTTTAAGAGCTTTGCAAGCACCAGTTTGATGTGCAGTGAATTGTAAAGCCTACTCGCTTGTCTTTAACCAATAGTTTGGTTGTAGTAAATATTTTAGGTTAGAGAGCCCCAATTTGATAGGTGACAACTAATTATGTCATAAAAGCAATAGAACACATTTTTCTGGGTGCTATAATGAGTTCAAGGCACTTGGGATGTTGTATTAACACTCAGAAAGCTTATAAATCACTTGCCTTCAGCTCTTCATTTTTAATCTTTTCTCATCTCGTAATGTCCGAAGTGGCTTTATCACATTATGGGGCCCGAAAAATTGGTTCTATTGCTTAAATAGAGAAATGCCTATGGAGAAGTCAGCACCCATAACTAGAGCATTAAGAATCTTAACTGGTAGCCTGGTACAGGCATTCAGTTAGTAAAACAGAGTTTAATAGTCAAGGTAACAGTAGCAGCAGAACAAAAGTGATATAGGTTTGGGTTGCATCATGCCCACCTTCCAGCATTTTTTTCACCATTTACTAGTGCACTGCATTTCACTGAAGCCTGCAACAGGTTACTTGTTAGAGAAGAATTGTCTCTTGGTGGAATCTCTTCTATGACTGGTGACAGGCAAAAGAGGTGACTTTAAAATTTTGAAAAAATGATTTTAGAGTATAGGTAGGAATTAAATTTTAAGTAGGAAATGTTTCAGTGCATTTCACTTTTGTTAGTGGAGTGACCATAGTAATGCGATATTAAAACTTTATGGTATCATATAGGTAACATTATGTAGTGAAAGAATTATGGAATTTTATTTAAATTTTATTATTATTATTATAACCATCAAAAAATATCACAAACAACAACAATGAGCTTGAAACTAATACAATTTTAGCAAAGTTGAAAATTGTTCTTTAGATATGTTCACAAATTTAAAAATTGTCCTCATTTGGGGTCAAATTAGCAACATGTAGCAACAGGTAATCACAGACTTAGTTTAAACAGGATGTTTCATTGCAATCATGATTATATACAAGGTGTTTGAAAAAGACAGTCTGGAATAAGATAATGATTCAGATTCACCAGCCATTTCAATCAGCTTGGTGATTTGCGGTGTGCAAACAAGATCAGTTTGTCTCAAAATTTCCTAGGACCAATGATAAACAAAACGGGATAGAAGACATGATTTTTGGACAAAATATGATAGCTATTTTAACAGAATATTAGAGTTTTAAAGAGCGCTTTTAGGAACTTATTTATAATAATAATAATAAAAGTGTTATAATAATGATGCAATTTCATTTTACTATCCTAAGTAAACCAGATTCACATGAAGTAATTTTCACCCAGGCCTTAAAATGCAAACAAATTGTAAATAGACATAAATGTGATGTTTAAAAACTCCAACTAGCTGGAGGCAGACCAGCTAGCTGTATGCCAAGTCCAGCCAAGGAGTTAAACTTGGGGCAATCAAGAACAAATCCAGTGAGTAGCAGGTTGGAGGCCTTGAACCTGGGACTACCAGATAACAAGACCAACGCCCTGACTACTCAGCCACACTGGCTTGCCAATATTATTTACATAATAGGTGACAGCATCAGGCTCTATGTAGAATTTTATGGAGTTTATTCTATCTGATATTAAAACAAGTCATGCAAATATTGACTTCTTACTTCAGGAAATCAGGGAAGAATTTCTTTAAAGATACACAATGCAAATATGGTCATGAATCGAGTTAAATGCTGAATTATAATTAGGAAGACACAATATAGTTTAACTAAGGCCTTCTTGTAAGAAATTATTAAATGTTTTTTACTCAAGCATTCTGAATTGTGATGTTTGGGTACTAAATTAATCCAAATTTAAGTAATTATTGTCCAAATATATTAAATATGGTCACAATTATCACCCTCAAACTGGACAAACCTGTTTATTCTATTAAAAAAAAAAAGCAACACTTTAGGATGAGGAGGTCACAGAAACGGCAGGGTGTGGCAGGCACATTCCCTTCTCAATCATAACATATACATATATGCGTATTACATTTTGAGGTTTCCAGTTAGGAGGGTTCTGTGAAGAAATGTTGGACCATCATCATTACCCCCTTATCAGTTCTCTTCCTCTTCATCATCAACATTTGCATGGTGACCACTTCCCATCTTAAGGAATTGAATAGAAGACAGTAACAAGGATTACTAAGGAGATCTTGGGAGCAAAAGGGATAAGCAGCTGCAAATGGTGTAAGTAGTAAACCAAACACACAAAAGCCTGCTCACAGGCTAAACAGACACCAGTGAGAGGTGTTACAGGCAGCAATAGACCACAGGTAACCCACTTTTAGTGAAACCCCAGCTTTAGAAGGTTACTGTTCTTTAGTCAATGAAAACCTCTGGTTCTCACTTCTGAGTCAAAGTTTCACTCAATTCCCAGAGCTTCCTTGCCACTCCATCATCTCTGGTGTTAGGAGGAAATTCTTTCACATCACAGTCAGCAAAGATTCCTCCAGAAACTTGGTTTAACTTATCCTCAGTTGCACAGTAAATGATTGTCTGAGCTCCTTCCCAGGGCCTTTTTGTCACTACTGTTGCAATTGGGTACAGGAACAATTTTTTCAGCAGGCTTAGTTTTGAGTTGCGGTGAAGTTCAGTCCAACACAACCCAGGGCACAGCGAATTGACAGTCACACCTGCAAATTGGAGGGAATCATTTTCATTTTCTTTGGCTAGGTAAAGGAATTTAGTAGCCACTTCAGAATCTACAACACAGAAGTGTCGGTCTGTTTCATGAGCTTGTCTGCAAAATAATATCTGTTATAATCCATCATATATAACTTAAAAATGAGCAATTCATCTAAATGCTAGTGCACTACAAAAAATATTCGTAGGATAATAAACACAGTAGCCTCTATTTGACACAGAAATATGCATTTTTAACTGTCCTTGGACATCATCTGTTCCTGGAAACTCATAGTTTTCCTCAAGCTTTGGTTTGGAAAACTGAACACTCCTTGAAACAAATAATGTCTGTAGGGAAATATCCAAGCACATTTTAGCTCCAAATGGAGGATATTTTTCATGTCACTGTCTTTTTCTGCCTTCCCATCACCTTTCTGCTTGAAAATGTAGTGATAAATTACAAATAGAAAGTCCTTTTTGGAAGGTACAAGCATATGATCACCCCTTACCATCAGGAAGCCTTTTGTTTAACTCGTGAGCAAAAAGCATGTTTGCCAGTTTGCTTTGAGCATAGGGACCTTTCATGCGGTACTCCCTTCCAGGTTTCACGTGACCCTTCTCTCCGTGAATATTGTCAAAATCAATAGAGGCTCTTTTAGCCAAGCTTGATGACACAACAACAATCCTGCTTGGTGATGATTTCCCAAGCAGATCTAATAATAAATTTGTCAACAAAAAATGCCCGAGGTGGTTTACACCGAAATGCATCTCAAAACCATCTTGGGTTTTGGGTACAGGAGGGTCCATATACACCCCTGCATTGTTAATAAGGACATCCAACCTCCCTTCCTCCTTTAAAATTTCGCCTGCAAATGTACGGACTGACTCCAGAGATGACAGATCAAGACTCTTCACAACTACTGCTGCATCTTTAACCTTCGCAAGGATTTCATCAGCTGCCTTATGTCCTTTTTCAAGACTCCTGCAAGCGAGAATAACCCTTGCCTCGCGACGAGCGAGCTCAAGGGCAGTTTCTTTACCGAGCCCTGTGTTCGCTCCAGTGATAATCACAGTCTTCCCTTTCATCGAGACTGTATTCGAGCATACTCCACCTGCAAAATAGCAACGTAAACGATAATAAACAAAGGCAAGGCCCGCAGTCAAAGCAGATATGACAATCACAGCGTCGTTCGCCATTTTGAGTACCTTCTTAACTAGCCTCGTTACCAGTCTGCCACGAATTTCAAGATGGCTGGTTGTGGACACCAACACCATGATCACGAACATGATGTTTCTGAAGAAGAAAGAGGTGCTCAGTTTCACCTTTTTCTAAAGATCGACCTCTTAAAGCTTCAGTGCTTGAACGAAGCTGAGGATGATTCGGCCAAGAACGTTTTCAAACCCTGGGACGAACGATTGGATACGAAAAAATTTGTGGAAAGTGACGTTGACGAAGAACTTTTGTTCAACATACCTTTCGTTGGACAAGTCAAATTAAAAGGTGTTGTGGTGATTGGTGGAGAAAATGGTGAGCATCCTTCTGAGATGAAACTGTATAAGAATCGGCCTTTTATGACTTTTGACGATACAAATGCGGAGGCTGATCAAACCTTCGAAATGAGTGAGGACCACGATGGAAGTTTAGAGTACTCACCTAAAGTGGCACGGTTTTCTAATGTGGAGCATCTTTCTATTTACTTTCCGCGTAACTTTGGAGCTGAAACAAGCAAAGTGTATTTCATAGGATTGAAGGGAGATTTCCAGGAGGCCCATCGCCACGGCGTGACAATTTGTACCTACGAAGCGAAACCGAACATAGCTGATCACAAAACAGGCGCGTTTAACAGCGTCAATCATACCATTAGCTAGGGAGAAAGTAAAGTGCTTCAATTCTGAATGAAAAATTTAATGCACTGTTGAAAGCTTGCTTCAGTGGAAAGTAACTTTAGTTGTAAATTTCAACTTGGAGAAAGAGTGTTTCAAATGTTTCATGTGTCATCGATTTATCAGTTACAGCTGTTGAACTATTGTGAGTGTTAGTTTAATCAGGAATAATAAACGAGGTGTTCTTTTAGAGTAGAAAGGCTTACTTTCAGGGGCACAGGTAGGACTTGGTTTTACATTGAGGACAGAGAGGGTGGGATTGGGGAGAAAAAGGTGATACTCTCCCTTCCAAGCCCCCTCATCTCTTGCACCTTTGACTCATATCTTTCTTTCCACGTTAATAAAACATTGCAAATTAATGATTTACCAATGTCTCCGTTGTCGAGTGTCTGTCTGGCTTCCCACCCTAACTAATGTCCTTCCCTGGCCCCTATACCCTTCCTGCTGTTTATTCTCTTGGACCCCTCCCTTACCATACACTTGTTTTCTCACTTTCCCCATTTTCTGATCGCTTTTGTTTTTTTTTTACTTCCGAATAGTAACCAAATTGTCTTGGTGAAAGGAAAGCCCTTCCCTTACTTCATCTACGCATTGCAGACCTAGCTTGTGGTGGGGAAAGGGAGGGGGGGGCGCGGGTACCTATGACATCCGGGAAACCTCTTCCAATATTTCCCCGCGACTTTCGAGTTGACCGCACATAAACAATATGGCGGCCCGCTACATCCAAGATGAACAAAAACAGGTCTGCTTTGTTAAGGCTTCTTGCACCTTGTTTTTCTTAAATAACAGGATAAATGAAAATTTAAGAGGTTTCTTAATTTTTATTTGCTTGAATGTATGTGGTAACGAGAGTTTTTTTTGTGTGTGTTTTCGTCTATAATGAGAGGGCTGATAGTTTCTAAAGAAACTGTTTGGGGCTGCGTCGGTGGGGGTAACGAAATAATTTGGATATATCAACAAAGTTGAAATGGTAAATTGGCCACCGTAACGAAAGCTGTTCTTGTTTCAAATTTTTGTAGGCGACGGAAACGTGACTGGAAAATTTGAATTGGATTACGATGAAAGTGAAGAAAACGCAAACGACGAAGAGGAAGAAACTGAGGTACGAGTCATGGTTTATTGAGTTATTATTTTATTTTTAACTCTTTGTATTATATCAACTATTAGTTGCACATGGTGAGTGATGAAAGCTATGTAAGCTTTCTCGGAGAAAAGGGTACTCAAAAAAAAAATTCATGAAAATGAGAAAAGTGAATCTCTGATCATGCAACTGTGCGAACATATCCCATAAAGCCGTTGGGTCTCATCGTTCACGGATCATGTTTTTCAGGTGTCAACGATTTTGTAATGGACTTGCTTCAAGTCCAAGGGAAGTTGTCATACTTGATGATATAGTTACTCCCAACGTTTTTATTTTGAGCGTTGCGTTTCAGACTGTTGTGCCGTGGAATTCCATGATTGATCCCGTTTTTGTCTAGTAACTGAGATTGGTACACCATTGGTACACCCATTCCTTTCTCTTCGACCGATATCGCCGTGTAAATGATAGACAACTTGGCAGGACAGCATTACACCAGGAAGGACGTGGAGCAAACGAGGAAACTGGAACGGAGTAATCCCGAATTTCTTTCGATACTCAATTTAAAACTACTCAGTGGAGCGTATTATGTAGAGTGATTTTAGGCGCTCGATGAAAAATTTTCTGTTGGTCTCGACTGTCAAGAAAACGAAAAGGATTCAAGCTGCGGTGTAGGGAAGTTTGTAAGAAACTAAGTTGCGTTTGATTCTCTCGCATTAATGAAGCGAGCAAATCACGAAAGAAGTCAATAAAACTGTTGTAATATTAAATCCTAAGTGTGCAAGGTGAATGAACAATTGTAGAAGAAAATGGTCAGAATATAAACAGTCCCAGAGGAAAAAAAGTGATTCCAAAATAGAAAGGAAGTCATATGGATATCACTGTTCTATACTGTGATTCTAAAACCGTTCTCCAAGAAGTTGTCGCGGAAGCAGTTAAGCACTGTCTGAAAATAGTCATAAAGAGTGTTATTTTCGCACCCACCTGTGCAACGCCCCCTATCAGTTTTACATGAGAGATTTCGCCTGCCTCTGAGGACACAACAATGTCTGATAAAATATACATTGAGTTTCCGCTCTAAAAAATATGGATAATAACCTTTTTTTTTTTTGCGAAAAG